ACTCGCACATAGCACTTTACCCCTGCCTATATGCTGTGGGCTGATTATGGAGCCTTCATTGTAACAGTAATTCAGATGCAATAAGCCTATATAAAAGGCCTCAAATTGGAAGCACTGACTGGGCCATCTTTTTCACTCAATTCTGCAATAGGTAGATCTCGCCTTTCACCTAGGCCGAGGTCGGTGATCTTGGGCTTAAAAAGGTTGGTGACCACTGATTTAGATGATCCAGAAGAGGATTGGGAGAATGTCATATGGTCAGATGAAACCAAAATAGAACTTTTTGGTAAAAACTCAACTAGACGTGTTTGGAGGAGAAAGAATGCTGAGTTGCATCCAAAGAACACCATACCTACTGTGAAACATGGGGGTGGAAACATGATGTTTCCACCCTTTTGGCTTTGGGGCTGTTTTTCTGAAAAGGGACCAGGACAACTGATCCGTGTAAGGAAAGAATGAATGGGGCCATGTATCGTGAGATTTTGAGTGACAACCTCCTTCCATCAGCAAGGGCATTGNTCATGGGCTGACAGGCTCAGAGAGCCCTGACAGTGCTGTCAATCACAACACAAACCAGGGTGGGGCGGGACCTCATGGCATGGGCGTCCCGCGACTCCCACCCATGCCATGAGGTCCCGCCCCACCCTGGTTTGTGTTGTGATTGACAGCACTGTCAGGGCTCTCTGAGCCTGTCAGCCCATGATTGATTGACAATGACAAACAATAGACCAATAATATGTGTCGATGCTGGCAACACACTGCTAGCCCTCTTTAGCCAATTGGCCGGCCCAATTGGAGGGAATTTAGAGGGGAAAAAAACAAAAGAAAAAAAAAACATTGCGGACCGGCCCACATTGGGTCAACGGCCCACCGGGACGATGCCCGGTATGCCAGATGGCCAGTCCACCCCTGTATATAAGTTAATGTATATGGTGTAAATGATTCATAAATGTGCCATACTACATGACGATTACTTTCATTTCTGGTATTTTGGATCTATTTTTGCACATTTTCTTCTGTCTTCACATTTATGGATTAATAGTGCTTTTTTCAGAAGATATTTCAATAACTCTTATGACAAGGTGCTCAGTCACATGTGGAAATCCTACCATCCCATCCACAGTCATGCAACTAAACGTCTCTTCACTGCAGGATCATGCGGCCAGACGACGCCAACATTGTGGGCAACGTCCACGGCGGCACCATCCTCAAGATGATCGAGGAAGCAGGATGCATTGTGGGCACGCGACACTGCAACACACAGGACGGGGTAAGAGACAACAGCAGCGCATACCCTAAACCAGGGGTGTCCAAATCTTTTTTTACTGAGGGCCACATACAGACACATATACGAAGGGCTGGGCCACTCCCTAGAGGTATTTTGCCTCATAAGTTCTGTTATAAGTTGGAAAAGTCAATCCAATGTAGGTAAATTATTCTTGATACTTCTAAATGTTTTAAGAAAAAACGTCAAAGCTCTCCATAGGGTTTCATTTATTTAGTTAGCAGCTCATTCCTTATATAGAAAATGTTATTCATTGGGATAAACCCCTTGAGATGCACCATCTCGTTTTCAAGGGGGTCCCGACAATAGCAACAACTTACAGACATACATAAACAAAAAGACAAAATGCAAAACATGACACACAAGACAAACCACATACCAAATGGTTAAGTAAAATTCAAGCAATGCACACACTCATTACAGTTGGCTGACAGTTTCATCAATATCAATTTCCTTAATAACAAGTACAGACCAGTTGAAAGTGAGATGATAATGCATGTTTAAACACACCCAATGATGCAAGAGATCTAATAGCAGCAGGTAAAGTATTCCAGTCTGTTGGGGTTTTGAAAATGAACGCTCTTCTGCCAATCAATTTTTTTGCAGAGGGGACAGAGAAATAAATCTGAACAGAATGTCTAACTTGATGATTTGGTGAGTAGGGTACAAAATACTGCTTTAAATAAGGGGGATAGTTAAGATAAATGCATTTAAATATCAGCTGAAGCCAATACGTGTGTCTTCTTACATTTAAAGAAGGCCATTTAAGTTGGTTATACATTGTGCAGTGATGTGTACGAAAAGGACAACCAAGAACAAATCTGCATAGTCTGTTGTAGGCTATGTTGAGTGGAGCAAGATCTAATTTATGTGCATTTTGGTAGACAACATCACAATAGTCCATAATCGGAAGAATAAGTTGAGAAGCAATTCTCTTTCGGACACTGAGCGTAAAACAATTGCGAGAGCGGTGTAAAACAAAGATTCCGTAATTGACTTTTTGTATTACATGCTTTATATGTAGTTTAAATGAAAGTTCAGAGTCTAGCCATACACCAAGATATTTAAAGCTATCAACTTTATGCAGAGAAGTGCCATCCTTACATGTTATTACTACATTAGGTTTGGATTTGAGCTTC